ATTATTATTATTATTATCCTTCAGGTCTTCCAATGACGCACCCACCAGTACTGTAACTGAGTCTATTTACTTTGTTGTTAGTCATCCTCTTCTTCTCTTTCCTTCCACTGTTCCCAGCATTAGAACCTTCTCCAGAGAGTTAAGATACCTTTGCATGAAGTGTCCAAGTAGCATTATTTGGGTTTGGTCATTTGTGCTTTGAGGCCAACTCTGGATTAATTGTCTGCCCATCTTCAGGCATCTTCTCCAAGGTGGAGGAAATGAAAGGCCAAACAATCTAGAAGGTCCTAAGTTGCCAACTTCTGACATAGGATATGCCTTCAAGCCCCATTATCTCCTGTGCTGCCCTATGGTGGACATATTCCATTTGGTTTAAGAAGATATTTCTAAACTACTGTGCTCAGAACTTGATGTGATTCCTTACACAGCAAAAGCTCTCCATTTCTTTTTCTTGTGGCCAGCAGACTCTAACGGCATTAACACCTTAAACTTGGTAAAGGTCTGATTACTTCACTTGCAGAGGATTTCTTCAATGAGGCAAAGATCATAAAGTTTGACTGGATTGCAATATCTCCATGGAAGAACTGGGAATGAATATACAATGTGCTATGCCTATAACTCTGTTCAATTATGCCAGGGATCTCTTGTAGAAATCTGATGAAATTACGTAAATCAGCGTTCCCCCAAATTTTTCAAAGTAGTTGGAAAACGTTGCTTGAAAGGGGTTGCAATTTGAAAGGATATGGAGGATACCAAATGAGGGAATACAACTATAAATGGTTAGAAATAAATTTACTTCCATAGTTTATTACCCACAATTTAATTCAGGCCACATCATACTGATCTTGGTATAATGCACACAACTGCACAAATGAAATCTGTATCTAAGAATAATAAGTGACTGAGTCTTTTGACTGCTAGCAATGCATGACTTAAACATTAAGTTCTATTTCATCATATAAAGGGTTAATGTAATAAAGTCTGCTATTTCTGTTTGCCACCTCATCTTGAGTTTCCTCCACAGAATGTCTATTGGCTAAAACCTAGAAGAAAAAAGAGAAAATGCACATGTTGAATGCAATTCCTGAAAACTAATTTGGGAACCTAAATGCTTTGAATAGAAAAGAGCTCTTGCTAAGGTATGATGAATTCATACTATCAGTCCAATATTTATAGTTGACAAAGTAAACGTAGTCCTTGACTTACAACAAGCTGCTTGGTGACCATTTGGACTTATGAAGGATCCGAAAATGCTACTTATGACCTGGCTTCAAAGTTCTGACATCTCACATCTCTGCAGTTACATGACCACATTTTGGGGGCTCAGCAACTGGCCTGCATTTATGGCTGCATGCAGAGCCCCTGGCCATGTGACTGCAATATACGATTTTGCCAGACGCCAACATTTACTTCTGGTTTCCAACAAAAATCGCCCCATAGTGAACAGATAGTTCACTTAATAGCCACCAATGTGTCTACTTAACAACCATTGCATTCGCTTAACCATGCTATATTCACTTAATCATCACTGTGTTTCTTAATGGCTACTATGAAAAAGGTCATAAAATCAGGTTTGGTCACACAGGTGACCCCATTATGACCATCATGACTTACAGCTGAATGCCAGGCTCAATTATGGTCATAATTCAAGGACTACCTGTAACGTTTAGGCTGTTCATTTGCTGTGCACATAATGTCATTTCTGCATAAAGAAAACTTGAACTTTATATTTAAACACATTTTATAAATGTGCAATAGAGAGGCAAAGTTGCTTGGGTGACATAAAATCTCTCCTTTATTTTTACAGAAGTGTACTCTAGGTAACAAACCAAATATGCTAAGATATAATACTTAATAATTTTAAAGGTGGTTTTTGTTTTTTTTGGCTTGGAGGTTTGAACCAGATTAGGATTACAATGGGGTAGTGGGTAACTTCCCCCCTAACCCCACCCCACCTCACTTAGCTAATAGTAAGAGACTACTTAGGCCATCAAGTCCAACCACCTAGTTAGTGCAGGAGCCCAGATTTAACAATTCCAATATGATGGCTGTTTAGCCTTGTGCGAACATATTAATAACATGGAACCCACCACTATATGGACAATTTGTTCCATTGACAAACTTCTTTGATATCAATCAAAATCTACTTTCCTATAACATCAACCTGTTATTTAGTGTCTTGCACTCTGAGAGTAACTCTTCACCTACTTCTATGTCACATTTTTTTTCAGGTATTTGAAGACGTCTAGCATAACAATCCAGTCTTCTGAAGCCTAACAATGTCCCTCAATCTTTGCAGACAGCTTAATTTATAGTTTCCTGATCACTCTTCCTTGCACTTTTGTCAGTTTGTCTGAATCCTTCTTAAGATGTACTGCCCAGAATTAAGTGGAATTATTATTTCTTGCGATTTTGATGCTACTTAGCCTTTTTTCCAGCGACATCATGCTACTGACTCAATTTAAATTACATTTCCATTTTCTACAGTATTAACTAACCTGCCCAATCTTGTGTCATCTGCAAATTTGTAAAGCATTCCCTCTACATAGAAGCCATTAATATATAATATACAGAGCTCAGAGCCAAATGTTGTGGCAGTCCATTTAAGATCTCCCTTCTAGTTTAGCATTGATAAATATTCTTTGAGCAGTTTTGACCCAAGTACGTGTTCATATAATTATTATGCCATCCACCCCATGCTTAACTAACTTACTAATTGGAATGTCATGGTTGTCCTTTGTCAAATGCTTTGTTGAAATCAAGATATATTATCCCACAACATTTCACAATCTGCCAAGGAAGTTATCTGATCAAAGCATGAGATAAGATTAGTTTTGGAAGCCTTGTTCTGGAGAAATACATAACCTGATATCTAGTATTTACACCTTGTTTCAAGTTGCTTACAACTCAATCTTTTTATACTGTAGAACTGACAGACTGGATAATGGATCCTTATTTTTCCCTTTTCTGAAGATTGAGACAGCATTCATCATTTCTCCAAGGTTTCTCTCAAATAATACATAAAGGTTTGGTAGATCACCTGCATGATTTTTCAGTACCCTAGTATGCAGTGTATCTGACACTGAAGATTTAAACTTATTCAAAGTAACATATTCATTTACCATGTTTTTATTAAACTTAAGTTTCCATCTTGCCATTTTGTCCTGCTCTTCAGAATTGCTTGTTGGAATGCACATCACTTTCTCAGAAAAGGCTAAGGTGAATTGAGTAGTTCTATTTTTCTTTATTCTTCTCTAATGTTTGCAAGTTCGCTGCATTTTGATCTGGCTTTTATTTTGAAGACATCTGAAGAAGTCCCTTTTGTTCTTAGCATTCTTGTCCAATCTTAACTTATTGTCTTGAGACAAAGGAAGAGGGGCCACACCTGTATAACATCAGTGCTAGTAGGAAGTGGGGTTTGCTCTCTGTATAGGCCATGCCACTAGTATATAAAATGAGAGCAAATCCCACTTCCTACGAGCACTGATGATGTTACCGAGTTTGGTAATGAAATGTCTGCAAGAAAATAACCAAGCTCAGAGGGCACTAAGACTCAGTTCAACCTTGAGCTACAAATATTTTCTTTTATTATTAAAATCAACTTTCTTAAAATAAAAAAAATGCACTTTAATCATCTTTAACTTTAGTTTTCCCTTACAATCAAGAACTTGATTGGTTTCAAGAACTATGATATGGTTTCTTTCCCTTTAGATTACTGCTATTTCAACTTCCAGACTATGTCTACCATATTGGTAGTATCATTGACTTAATGAAAGTGGAGTCATTTGGTCCTACTCTAAGAGATTAACGAAAGGGAAGTGATCTCTTCCAAAAGCATATATTCAAACACTTCTATTTTATGGCATTCCTCCTCATGGGAGAGCTGCAACATTTCTTCTTCATCAGGCTGAAACCAAGATTATAAACCTAAATTTCTAATTTACTCCTAAATAATAGCACCAATCTATATCTCAAAAACTAAAATTATTGTTTATTATCTGAATAACATTAGCAGGTTTTAGATCAACATCAGCAGACTGGGTATCAGATTTATGACATAAAACAATGTTGTATAAATATATTTTTTCTATTTTTAATTTCACATCTTTGATGGATATCTCTGTCAGTTAGAAAGCTATGAGATTTAATTATTATTATTTTTAAAAAGGGTTTTCCCCTTTTTCCCATGCCAAATTGATTTTAGGAGAAATCCAACATTGCAAATTGGGGAAAACATGGTAATATGAAAATATTGGATGGAAGAAGGGATATTGACTTAGGACCAACTGATAAATGATGAAGAGGAAATTTTAGCATACTGCTCCATCACTGGAGGTTTTAAAGAACAGACTGGACAGACACTTGTCCAGAATTATATAGGGTCCCCTGCTTGAGCACTAATGATCCTTCCAACTCTGTTATTGTCTTATTCCAAGTAAAACATAAATATCATCTATTAGATGTAGCCCAATGGCAATATTTACAATTACAACATTTGCTAACAAGATTGTTTGGATCAGCAAACAATCACTTTTTCAGTTTTGGGATACCTGAGATACTAGAACAATTTGTTAAAACCCTATTAATTTTTTATTACCATATTGGTAGATTTGTTACCAATAAATCATTTTGATATGCAGATGTTAAGATATGAGTAGAATAAAGAATCAGAGCTTCCCAATCATCTAAACAATGGAAGAGTATATTATCTTCTATAGCAAGACTGTCAATTGATCTCAAATTATGATTTACATAACAAAAAATATAACTTATTTGACTTTATTTTATTTGTATAAAAAAAGGATTGTTAAAACAGCATTTTGTTGGAGATGAAATGTGGATAATGTTTTTTTAAAAATACATTTTACAATGTCCTATACTAACCAAGTTTTGGGAAAAAGTAGTGAACTCTGTAGATATGATTGTCAAAGAAAAGCTAAACTTCTCAGAGAATAATATCCTCTTGAACTGCATATGGAACAAACACATAAATAGATTCTGTGTGCCCTTACTATGCCAAAAGATCATAGTATTGGAGCATTAGGAAGTATGTCTCCTTTCACTCAGTTGATTGAAGATCTGATTGCACTTATCATCTATGAGCAGATTGCTTATAGATGTGGATTTTGTATGGACAGGTATGATGAAATGTGGGATTTCATACAGAATATACAGTAGGTTAAAAATAGCTTTATTAAACCTATCAGAAATTTATATGTCTTGACCAATATTGCATTAGGCAAGTATATATAGAATTGTAACTGTTTATCATTATAATGACATGTTATTTTTGTTGTATTTTTCCACTTTTTGTTATAGTACTTTTAATGTGTTTTAATAATGTATGTATTGTATCACTATTGTTTTTATATTCTGCTGTTTTTTTCTTTTCTTTTCTATTAATTAAATAGCAACAATAATAACTTCACAGCCTTTTTGCTTTAAATGATACTTTAAAAATATTTTAAAATTGCAATTCTGGGATGGAGTTGGGCACAGGAACAACTGGGTAATTTTGGCACCCTATTCCAATAAGAGATCTTTATATTAGATGCCCTTATCCCATTCCTACAGATTCACTTTTGAGACAAGGTATATTGGGTGGCTTGGCATAGATCAACTGGGAATGTATTCCAGCCTTTGCACTTGTATACTGCATATGTTTTTTCTCCCACTGATTTCAGTACAGCAGGGAAACTATCAGAGTAAAGTAAAGTTGGAAAAATGTTGATCACCCACATTTAGTGTTGCCAGTGCAAATACAGGAGGGATAATGTGGGTGGTTGCTTTTTGTTTGTTTGTTTGTTTGTTTTGCTTTGAGTTCTGGAAGTTCCTGTCACATTGGTGGAGGTGTATTGTTCATACATACATAAATATATAGAAAATTGAGCTCTTACACTTGGGTTACTTGGTGTGTCAAACATGGGATTATCAAACCCTTCCTCAGTTGTCCCACCAAAATCTTCTTGATCCCTTTTTTGGTTCCACACAGAGGAAAAATTCAGAGAGGAAAGAGATCTGTGAAAATAGAAATGATAGAACGTTAACAAAGACAATTTTATTTGATTTCTTAAGAAGAGTCACCGAGATCCACTGAATTTAGTAAATTATCAGAACTTGAAAACTGGCCAAAAAAAGAAGCCACCCTAATATCAGCAATCTTTGTAACAGATGTGTGAGCTAACATAATAATATACAAGAAAAATAAAATAAACTCTCAAAGTATACTTTGGTATTTACAGGGCATTTATGCTGCACAAGAATTGATGTCACTGTGATCTAAATTTACTTTAGAACTGCAGTTTAGGCTGGATTAATAAGAACATGTATTTGACTGTATAAAGATACTGAGTGATTTCTCAAACACACCCATTTAGAGGAAAGGAAAAGACTGGTAATAGGTTTCCAAGATACAATGAAATTGACATGTGAGAGACATATAGCAGATTTGATAGTATATTGTCTTCCTTATGACCATAACTTTTTGCAAGATGGCCTCTCTTTGATTTGACTGCTTCATCCCCTGGGAAATGCCATGTTTTGGGTATCTGCCATGAAAAAATGCCTCCTAATGGGACCCCGTAGGTGAGCCTTTTTTTGCCACACACAGCACATCTTTTGGAACAGATAAAGTTGGCTTTCAAAACCTGTTTTTTCCTCCAGTCACTCGGCTAGGCTATTGGAGGAGCCCATCTGGGAAATGATTTAGGAATGTGAACATGCTGTGATATGGCTTTGGTTGTGTTGAATGACAGTGTGGTTCTATGACGTTTATGCTGTTTGGTTATTTTATTTTGTGTTTTTAAATTCTAAGTTAGCCATTCAATTTCCCTTAGGTGGCCATATATGCATTGCCTAAACTAACAAACAAATGTATTTAGCGTGCCATCTCCAATGCTGTGGAATATGCAGGCCTATCAGTATCAATTTATAATTACTTTTGGAACTGCAATTGAATGATAGCTCCATATTGTTCTTTATCCAAGGCAATATAATTGGTCTGTCCCTGAGGTAATAGTTATAATGGCTGTTTATAAAGCAGTCAATGGAAACATTGCAGATTGATTGATTGATTGATTGATTGATTGATTCATTTATTCATTTATTCATTTATACATATACTTTTTGCAATAAATCACACAAGAAACAGAAGCAGTGACAAAGCATGTAAGCAAGATAAAGCAGAGCATATTTAATACCTCAGAAGGAACTCAAGTGCAATACCTACCTTTTACAATCCCAAATACTTCTATTATATCCTTGCACCCTCACCCACAAGGGAATTCATAGATGCTTTGCCCTCAATGCTGTTGACCAGAAGATTCAATAATATTTCCTATCCAGAATACATGTGCATATAAATCAGTCCTATCTATCATTCTTGGATGACAGAGTTAATCATTCTTCTAATCACAAATTATCAGCCCTGATCTCAACAGGCAATTGGGTGTTTCTTATTAAATAACCAGGATCATAAAGCAAGAGAGTGAGAAGACAATATAGGTATAATACATGTGTGAATAAATCTTTTTTTTAATCTCAGGTATTTGAATTTTGCTTATTTGTTTACTTTGGTCTGTGACTAAATTATTTCCTCCTCCTCCTCCTCCTCCTCCTCCTCCTCCTCCTCCTCCTCCTCCTCTCAATCACCATCAAATACATCAATCATCAAACACCTAAGCAAATGAAGGTTCACAAGGGCCACACAAAATAGTCCACCTATGTAATTAAGGAGGTTGTCTCTTTGATTGTTAACCTCCTCACCTTGGGGGGTGGGGGGGAGGCCTGAGCAGAAATCCTCCGAAAATCATGTTTGATGGTGATATAAGAAGCTGAACTCCTTTTATTCCCTACAGCTGCATAAAAATCACTGTTATTCCTTTTAAGATGACCTCAAGTCACCCTGAAAGATGCATAATAAATTTGATCCCATCTCATTATAAGTTTGTGTGACTGTTCAGGAAGCTGCTCCTGGCTATCTCTGCATTCAAGAAAGGAGCTTTCTCCTTGCATATTTCAAATCCTCTTGTGATGGATTAGCACAGCCCTCTTATTTATAACAGGCACCACATGAAACAGATGTAATCAAAACCGTCTCTTTGTAACGGTTCCATTTCAAATGGGATTCTGAAATTTAGCTCTCAGAAGAGCTGCTCTCTTGAAATTCCTATACATATATCTATTCCCCATGGGAAATAGCTGGGCTATTTCCTCTTAATATATGAAGGAAGAAGCAAGTGACTTTTTGACATGTCCTTCTGGTAGCAGAAGGAGCTACAAATCATGCCCATGCATATTTTGCAGATTTAATTTTTTTTGTTCTGAGCTGTGGAAAGTATTCCAAGGAGTCTCATCTCCAGAGACATAATATTGCTTATGGGCTTCCAGATTATTTGCTCAAAGCTGTCCTCTTTAACAAGGCATTTTCCCCCCAGGAGCGGTTTGACTTGAAGATGTTATCTATTTTCCCTGCCCGCTCTTGTTGGTTGTTCTTTTCAGCGTTGTATTGGCCTTTATTATTAGACGATGGCTAAAATAATTTGGTCTAAGTTATTTTAATTTTGTACTGATATAAATGCTGTTTGCCACCTTGAGCGGTGCATATGCATTAGAAAGGCAGGAGGCAAATTTTCATTCATTATTATTATTATTCATTATTATTAAATAAAGCAAAGTATTAGGCCTCGTTGGCTTCATTTTATGTATCGGTTATTATACGAAATCATATTTTCATGCAATTTGATCTTGGCAGTCTCGGGTTTGTTTAAAAAAAGCACCATGAATCGCTCCCCCCTTCCGATTTCCACCCTTCATGGAGGCTATTGTTGTTTTTCCTCAGTGTGGCTGCCAATTGGGGGATGGGGATGAGGAGAAGGAACATCTCTGTTGCCTAGGCAACCAGGCCAATGCTCCCTTGGATCTCCAAATGTGCACCCCCATGAAAATAATGGTGTGCCAAGCCATGGAATTTCAGTGCAGATGTTATTACTTCTCACATTATACCAAGAAGTTAGATGTATTAACTCTTAGTCCGTGTGTAGTTACACTATGAATTCTATCCAATCTAAGCTTCTATTTTGTCCTGGAATGAGCTATGGAGCCAAATGTTTGGTAGACTGCTGGGAAAAAGAATCAGCATTCCTAAAGGATGGCAGAGTGTCAGAGCTTAGTCTTTATACATGGAGCATCATTCCTGATTAACATTGAGAAGGTGTCATTTTTCCTCCACTGGTCGAGTCCAGTATTTCTCATCCTTGCCAGCTTTACTATATGTGGACCACCCAGAATTCCTCAACTTGCATTCCAACTAGGGAATTCTGGGAGTTGACACCCACAGATTTAAAGCTGCCAAGATTGAGAAACATTGAGTTAGACTGAACAAAAGTGCTCCCAAAGAAAAAAGAAGCATAATCCTAAGCTTAGCTGGGAAAAAGTCATTCAGTGCTAAAGCTTTCCTTCTTTTGAGAGGGATGAATTGGTCAAAATATTGGCTGATGGGTCCGGCAATTCCATCCATCTCAGTTCTCCTTGTACCACCAGCAAGCAAAGATATTTTTATTCAGACAGGCCCTTTGGCATATGAGCTGCTTTGACTGCTGAGCCAGCTGAGTATGAAGGTTTTTCCTTTTGATCTCACTTTTCTTGTTACTAACAGCTGCTGGGAGCTCTATTTTGGGGAAGGAAAGGTTTTGTTTATAAAAAATTAATGTACTGAATTCATAAATTATAACTTTTGTTTTAAAATCAAACCAAAGCCAACCAGGTAAATAGAAATATCATTTTATACAGCAGCACTACATGATGCTTATAGTATATCTTCTTCTATTTGTCTTCTATATTAATACTGTAAGTATGCAATTTAAATTTATGTTGTCTGAAGGGGCTCCTTGAGGTTTTCCTTCATTCCAGGAGATCACTTTACTCCATTCTCCTGAGCCTTTTACCTCCAGATGTTCTAGTATTGTCCGTCTCTATCCAGGATGTCTTTTGATTAGGAACGTAAAAGCTGAAGCCTCAGCTTTCCCAGTTACCTAGTAAGAGAAGACTGAAAATTGGTCCATTCTCATTATCGTCTCAAAGCCATTCTTTGTGCTGTTTTAAACCCCATAATGACTTTGAATCTATTTTTCTATCTCTCTAATCCTGCCTATGTTACAAGTCAATTCCAAGGTTTTAGTTTAACCTGACAGACCTCTAAAGCAACTCGTGATCAAAGTCTAATTTTTGGTTCTAGGTTTGGAATTCTCCATTCATTTTCTTGAGGTTTCTTCAAAAAAATCCAAAAGTCCAAAAAAATGTCTTCTAAAGATGTGATATTATATTTTTTTTGCATTAATATTAAGCCAAATGTTTTAAAAAGATGGTTCAGCTGAGATTTCCAGTCCATCTTTCCTAGGATCCCACATGATTCCACTGAAGTTTAGTTTCCAGAATTCCTCCAAGCAGTGTACAGTTGTAACAGCAATCTTCCTTTTGTGTTACTTGCCCAAGGAACCCATTCTTAGATTATTCTTTATAATTTTTATCCTGGGATAGGAGTGCCATCAGCTAAAAAAACATTTCTGTTGTTGAACTAATTGACTGTCTTTCACTGACTCATCGCATGACCACATTCCAGAGCAGGTTGACCAAGCCTAGTATCATAAAACCCTTTAAAGCCAAATCCCTATCTCAAATGTTACAAAACTCCCAGTTCAGATTCCTAGGATGCTATTCTGATTATCTTACTGTATTTCAGATTCAGCACTCCATTTAGTAATTGGGATGATCCTAAATGAATCTTTCAGATAGAATTTCCATAGCTAAACACTGGAAAGATATAATTTTGATGTTGGAGCACTGGTACTAGAACGTTTAGCATATTGCTATAGCTGAGAAATTGCTTACATTCCTCAGCTATGTTTAAGTCAACCTAAAGTTAAAGCCTTTGCAAGTATATGGTCTGGTTTTGTATCTTATGCTACCCATGGGGACTATAATTGTTTCATGTCAGATTAATATGGGAGAAATATTAAAGAATTATTAATATGTGATTTTATGACTTGCTTTTCTTGTCTTCCTTTTTAACCCTTATACGTATGTGTATGTGTGTATAGTGTATGTATGTATTGTAATATCTTTATAAATAAAAAGATATTTAAAAATATTGGCAGAATATAAACAAAAAAACATTAACATTAGCAAATTACCTATTCACTATTAATTATCCAACACAATGCAAAACTCTCTCCTTAGCCCACCTCTGCATGATATTAGAAGGATGATATAATAATGCTTTTTTTATCCCTATGGCTTGAAGGAACCTGAGCCTTTAGTCCATGTATTCCATCAATTCCCTTCTACATCAGCTTAGGCCCTGCCCTGATAACTCCACCTACAAAAGAAGCTACATCTGTTCTGAGTATGATTTCATTTTCCTTTTACTGTCAAACCAGAATCTTGACATCTTCAGAAGAGTTGTAAACAGTCTTTCCACTGCTATTGCTTTATGCAGGAAAATACTCTTCTAATTTTAGGATCTTATAAACATACAAAGTTGTATTACAATCTAATCAATTTGTTTTAAGTATTTAAATGCTATAAGATTCTACTATTTTTTATTTATAGTGCTTTGTGGGTAGAATCAGTCTATTTATTTCTATAATTAATCCATGTTTTGGGGACTTATAAATGTTAACACAAATAGTACAAAATCCTGGTCAGTTATCATAACAAAGAAACTAGAGCAGTTTGAAAAGGTAGAAAGTACTATCCCAGGATAATTGATTTTCAAAAAGGACATAGACTAGGTCATTTAAAAGGGGGGGGGGAACCTCTGGTTAGAGCACCGCCTTTGATGCAGGAGAGCAAGTTTCAAGTTCTGGCTGGTACTTAGCTTACCAGTAGGGTTCGTTGGGAAAAGACCTTTTAATGCTTCACCTGCCTACATCAAATAAAAGAGTGACATGAACCAGGAGACTCATACCAATTCACTTATCACCCAGATCTCTACAGTAAGCCTTCTAATGTTAAAACACTATCTATACAGATCTAAATTGCTATCATGTTACATTGCCACACCATGCCAGAGCTGCAATAGTAAAGGAACAAGCATTCAACACATGAGCAGCTGATTAGCACTTGGTACAGCAGCTACAAAGGCTCTGGAAAAGATATTCAAATGCTATGTACCTGTCCGACCATAATTGTTCATTGGTATGCTTGTGACATTCTACAGAAGTAAAAACTGAACTTTTAAGAAGCAGAAAAAGGTAGAATATCAATGTTTTTGGTGAATATCATGAACAGCCAAGAAAACAAACCAATGGATCATCAAACCTATCATCTCAAAATCCTCACATGAAACATAGATGACCAGGCTCAAATTATCCTACTTAATAACATTACGCAAAGACCTAGCTCTTTGGAGAAGCTTCTAATATTGGGAAAGATACAAGGAAAGAGAAGAGAAAGATGACCAGGAGCAAGATGGCTGGGCTCAGTTATAAAGTCACCACTGGAAAACCTGAAAGATGAAGTTAAGGACAGATTGTCATGGAGAAAATCTATCTACGTGGTTGCTAAAACTCAATAGCCCCTGATGACTCATAATCATACTATAATAAATGTATATTAGGAAACAGGTTATATTTTTGAATCTTTGAAGAATGCTAGAATAGAGGTAAAGTAGCATCATTAAATACTTTCATGGAGCAACTATCTTGTGTCATCTTTTTTAAGGTGGATGCTATCATACTAAATAAAATTGAGAAACACTACTTTGATGTAGCTGGAGAACTCCAGGCAACACTTGTAAGGACTTTTGCATTAGGAGATGATAAACCTAGGAAAACCTAGGAGTGAGACTTTATGATGTGCCACAGAGATCAGTAATCTCTCCATTCTATTTTTTTTTTATTTATTTGATTTGCCAATTGTTTACAAGATAATAAGTATAAGTGTATACATAGTTGTGAATACATGAAATGGGTACATATAAGAAAAATAAAAGAAGAATAAGAGAAACAATAGGACAGGGACGGTAGGCACGTTGGTGCGCTTATGCACGCCCCCTACAGACCTCTTAGGAAAGGGGTGAGGTCAATAGTAGACAGTCTAAGGTTAAAGTTTTTGGGGTTTGGGGAAGAAACTACAGAGTCGGGTAGAGTATTCCAGACATTGACCACTCTATTGCTGAAGTCGTATTTCCTGCAATCAAGTTTGGTGCGGTTAACTTTGAGTTTGTATCTATTGTGTGCTCTTGTGTTGTTATGGTTGAAGCTGAAGTATTCATTGACAGGTAGGACATTGCAATGTATGATTTTATATACCATGCTTAAATCAGACCGAAGACGGCGTAATTCAAGGTTTTCTAGGTCTAGAATTTCAAGTCTGGTGGCATAAGGTATTCTACAACGAGTAGAGGAGTGGAGAACTCTTCTTGTGAAATATTTCTGGACTTTCTCAATTGTGCTAATATCAGATATGTAATGTGGGTTCCAGACTGATGAACTGTATTCGAGTATTGGTCTAGCAAATGTTTTGTATGCTCTGGTTAGTAGTGTGATATTACCAGAGAAAAAGCTACGTAGGATTAGGTTAACAACTCTTAATGCCTTTTTGGCTATGTAGTTGCAGTGGGCTCTAGCACTTAGATCATTAGAGGTGAGTATTCCAAGGTCCTTTACAGAGCTTGAGTCATCAACAAGATCTTGACTATTCAGCTTGTATTTTATTTTCTGATTTTTTTGCCAATATGTAAGACAGAGCATTTATTTGTTGAGATTTGAAGTTGCCATTTGTTTGACCA